GTTTGAAACTGTTCGAAACCGTTCATGCATAAAAAAGTTCTCTAATAAATAGTCTTTTGTTAGACCGCCGCCGTATAGCGCCGACGTTTTTTTTTCCTTTTGTAAACACTTATTCTGCTGTTATTATTATACTACTGCTATTCTTACTAATTAGACGTTTTCAGATCGACTTTACTTTTACATTTGTATAACATTAAATAATATTTAACATTTGTAAATATCAATGAATCATAAACCTAATTTTTTTCCAAATTAAGGTTCTTGATTGTTTGATATTTACAAATGTTAATATTTAGGTGAAAATTTAATTTAATAAAAACCAAGGTTTTCCAGGGTGTTTTAGCTATACCTACTTGAAATATTTGTTCGCCGCCGCAGCTAAAACTTATCGAAAATCGGTGCCGCAACGAATCGGTTAACATGACAATTTCACAGTTTTCCCCCATTTTACCGGGATAGATTCAGAATTACCAGATACAAATGACGCTGGTGTAAGATATAGCAACCGCTAAGCGTGTGTTCTCGCTCACGCACACACGCTTCTAAACACTGGCCAGTATTTGTTGCATCGCTTATTGCGTAAGGCGTTATCTAGAGAGTAAATAATCTAAGAATTTGGCCAAACTCATCGGAATCTTTTTTTAACGTAGTAGAGACATGCTGCAACTGCGAGTATATCAGTAGTATAGTTGTAGCACGAATGGGTCGGCTCGACCGGGGAAGGGCCATGATCTCATAGAATATCAGCGTAAAAATAACAGCTTAACTCTGTTATTTTTTTATGGTGAGTCTAGATAACCGGAGACCCATTTTACTAGAAATGAGGCATTCCACCTTAGTCCTCACGGGTGACAACGCATCTGCATTTTGTTTCGTAATCGAAGGATAGATGTAGATGTCTATGGGCCACAGCAACCACTTACCATCTGGTGGACTGTATGCTTGTTGGTCACCCTTATCCTATAAAAATAATCGAACCCAGGACATCGCGCTTACGATCACTAGACCGAGAAGACAGCTGTTCCCCGCAACTTCGTCCGCGTGGAGTTGATTGTATTTGTATAGATATAAACGTTACAATAAAGTATTATTTTTATTATAATTTTCAGATTTATTTGCACCATCGAGCACATGAAGAGCAATAAAGTTGAAGATATCGCAATAAGTTTTTTTTTTAGATAAGGGTCAATAAAACGTAGAAAACATAATTGAAATCTATCCAGTAGTTTTTCCGTTATGCGCACTGCAAACGTCTACCATTTTATTTATATAGATTAACCTTTTGACCGCCACGCCAAAAATGCATAACCGTGGCCTGTACGCCAAAGCGAAAAGTAAACAAAAATACCTACGAAAATAGTGTTGCCAAGAGTTGATATATCGATAACACAAAACTTGTTTTTGTTGGTTTTTTATGCAATAAATGACTCTTTATAATCTGGTATGTTTTATTTAATCTTGCGCTGTCTTCCACTCTTTTTATATATGTAGTTTGTACATAAATAAAAAGCAAACAATATCAATAAAATAATAGTAAACCACAGCACTACTCTCCATCGATGACGTCACTGTCACGACTGGACGACAACGGCGTAGCTGACCTTCCTTTTTGAAACTTTCTTAGAGATGTAGCCGTGTTGCACGTTGTGTTTCGATTTCGAAATCGATATAATCAAAATATTTTGTGTCGTGGGAGGCGTAGGCCAAGTGAAGCATAGAAGAAAAGCCTAACACTTTTATGACAATGGGTTTGATATGACGCTGATGCTGCCAGATGATTTTGAGATTGAGAAAGAAAATCGCACAACACAAAATGAAAAATTGCTCTTCAAACCTTAAGTAAAAAAAAACACATTTATTATTTGTAATTTCATATTATTAAAATAAAAAAGGTACATAATTATTCACTATTCAACAATTGTTTATATTTATTCGCACTAGGTAAATCAGTCAGAATCGTTTATGTTGCACTGCACTACTTTTCGCGCTAATCACTTATGACGCCATCAGGGTGTCGTCTATCCTTGACCACGGCGCCCAGTGAACTGATTTTCGATGACGCGCTAAGGATACGCCAGAGTTATTTGATTTATTATGCGAAGATGATAATATTTTTTTATTCATGTAGCTAATTATAGTCGTTTCTAACCTTTTGTTTCAATCAAATATCAATAATAATAATAGTTAAAAAAATAACACGTTTGAGCTGAATTTTGGCTAGTTTTCAAGAAATCTATGCATCCCGCGCACGGCACTAGCGGTCAACTATAGACGACTTTGGCGTGCTGGACATAGTATTTGCTTAGATAAAAATCCATTTCTTTTAGTTCAATGTTCCTTAGTACTTGTGGCTCTAGGAGACTTGTTTTTTATACTCACATGTTGCGGGGTTATTCTTTTTTGAGGAGTATGGAATTAAAATACCAGTAATAATTTTCCAATATCTATATTTCATATTTTTGTGGGCCGGGTTATTTGTCAACTATAAACGTCGTTGGCGCTCAGGGCCCGCAGGTGCTTATCAAGTATAGGCTACTTTGGAGGTCAAAAGGTTAATAGAAAACAGATAATGTTATTGCGTTTTTTAAAATGCCTACAATATTTTCCTTCTCAAAAAAGACGTGGGGCTGATGGCAAAACAAAATTGAATTTCTACACAATGTCGAAAAGGTTAAAAAATAAAACAGCTAGTCGAATGAAACGTTTTAATGTCATTATTAATATGTACTGCCTCAAGAGTTTATATACACTCGATTGCATTGCAACAACCTTAGCGTCCTAACCTAGACAAAGGAAAAATACACCTTACATTCTAAATAAAAAAAAATGCAGTTTTATTTTAATGGCAAATGGACTAACCCTTTTACTATGTTTTGCGAGTGATTTTACCTTTAGGATCATTTATTTTCAGATTTCTCCAATATACATCAACTACTTATTTGATACATAATTATTTGATGATTTTTGGGCTACTCTTAACAATTCTACCAATATAATGCCAGTCATAGGAATGACAACAATATACTACCTACGCAGCTCTTAAATACTTTTAGTTTTATAAATATGGTGTCTATATTCACTCCGCAAAAGTAAATTTTTGGATGGCAGACCATTGCTTCAAGAAAATTACAACATAATGCATTCACAACATAAAATTATAAATTTATCAAATGTACTTGTTCATTACACTACGCACTTGGAAGTTCTTTTATTTATGGAAATCTTGAAACAGATTCTGTCAATGTCAAGTCAGTCATGGAAGAGATACTGAGGTAAATGGAGGTTCTTAAAATGTATCCTATCAGACTGTTTGTTGAGATGCCTGTTGAAATAAACAGCCCCCGGAGTATGATTTGATCGTAAATACCGAAACAGATAAGCGAACATAATATCTGGACCTGGTTCACGAGGTGACCGATGTGTGGGGTGGACTGCCGACCGAAATTATACCTGTAGTCGTTTCTGCGAACGGGTTAATCCCAGTCAGCCTCTCGGGTCATCTGAGGCGACTGGGACTCCGTGACGGACCGTTCCGGGCTCAAATGCAGAAGGCGGTGCTCCTCGATACCGCCCGCATCATCCGCCTATTTCTTTCCCTTCCCCTCTAACCCTCGGCCGTTTGGTCTCCCCTGCCGAGGGTTTCCACTTGATTGGGTTTTTATTTATTTATGTATTTTTATGTATTTATACAGCCCAACCAGATGAGAAAACTTTAATAGATACCCCATCAATAATAATGCCTCATAATGTATTATTTTACTATATCAATGTATATCATTTTCTTTTATATATTTAAACCCAACCTCGTGCTCCTCGATACCGCCATCATCAGCCATCCTCGTCCGCCGGTTTCTTTCCCTTCCCCCTAACCCTAGGCAGTGTGGTTTTGCATGTCAAGGGCTTCCATCCATTATGATTTATAGCTTATGTGTTATTCTCATGTAAAATTAAAAAAAATAATTAAAATCCATTTAGTAGATTTCGCGTGAAAAAGTAACAAGCATCCTCACAAACTTTCACATTTATAAAATTAGTAGAATTTGTTTATTTATGTTACTATATTTAATGATTATTTATCATTTTGTTTTATATATTTATTTAGCCCATCTCTACGTCTTTTTTTAAAGATGAGAAGTTGAGAATACTCTATAAATAGCCAATAATAATAATCTTTCTTTTCACTCTACAAAATTGAAGTTTAAAACATCATTACATATAAATACTACGTGATTTACGAATGCTAGTTGTAGAGACTGGTGACGACAATACTAGGTCTCCCTCCCTGTGCTTACAGCCACCAGAATACAATTTAATTTATCACTACAATCTAATTTAAAAAAGAACTTGAATATAGTTTCTAAGGATTAATCGATTATTAATATCCCTATTATAAAAACCTGCCTACTCCAAATATATTTCGGATTCCAGACGGAGTCAACATTAATTCAAAATATCATGCATTATGATTGTATATCAAGTTTATGAGTCGGATTGAACGGAGGTGAGTGAGGTGAGTTGATGGAAAAACAAAATATCGAACTTAGTTTAATTCAGCCTTATCATTAAGCCAAAATAATCGAGAAAATGTGAACAATCAAGTGGATTTTCACAGTTAATTATACAGCAACATCGTCCAGAGCCACTATTTGGCTCACTTTTATGCACAACATTTAACACACCTTAATTTAATCTATTTTTATATCAAAGCTGTAGTCTCTATCGGACTAAACTTTCTGTTAATAAATCAATGTTCAGATACAACTAATAATTCAATATGTAAAGCGTTGGAGAGTGGCTTGTTCTTGCCCAGGAATTAATGTGCCTTTAAAACAAATTTTATAGTACATTATAATTCTATATTATTCAAAAACAAATTGGAATCCGAACTCAAAACGCCTGACTCTTAATGTTCAAGTTCGAATGGTAATATTTATTGCTGATCATTTCAGTTAAATACTATGGAGCTTGCTGCTACATCGTCCAGTTCGTCACAAGTGCGATTATTCGCGCAGTTTGAACACGTGGTCCTTGATGGCGCCACCGTCGCCCTCCGATACGAAGCGCTTGCGGCCCCTGAAATCATAATTATTGGTATTTACCTATTGAGTCTACAGGATTCTACAAGTTCTGTCAGTTTAAATAGTTCAAAAAATCTCCAATATTTCACTTCATAGCGTGTAGTGGCGGTGTAAGAATATCCACTACCCCACACTAGTTCGTGGTTGTCGTAAGAGGCGATAGAGGGAAACTGAAACAGGAAATGGGAAGCAGCAACTTCCTGATAACAACTCAAAATAATAAAAGTAAAACTGCAGTCACCATCCTACCATCAACTATGGCGGAATACTCCATACGAAACAATCATGTGCAGCAATGGATTTTTATAGGTTGTTATAGATCGATGCACACACGCACATAAACACGCACGCGCGAAAATTACGCCCTTAGAGACGTGAGGTTGTGGAAAACAGCCCGTCGTAAACTAAGATGGATGAATGGATTTCTTATTTCCGCTTCTTTCTATCTTCTTTTTTTATAGGATAAGGGTGACAAGCGAGAGGACTGTGTGCCACCTCTATCCTTAATAAAGAATCAAAATGCAGATGCGTTGTCACCCGTGAAGACTTTTTTTTTATAGAAGAGGGGGCAAACAAGCATGCGGCTCACCTGATGGTAAGTGACTACCGCCGCCCATGAACAACCGCAACACCAGAGCAATTGCAGATGCGTTGCCGGCCTTTTAGAAAGGTGTAAGCTCTTGAAGGTTCCTAAGTCGTATCAGTCCGGAAAATTCGCTGGTGGTAATTGATTCCACAAGGAAGTTGTGCGAGGGAGAAAACCTCTTCTAAATCGCACAGTGGTGGACCGCCAATCATCCAGATGGTATGGATGGTAACGCGAGTTTTGTCGCGATGTGCGATGGTGAAATTGAGCGGCTGGAATTAGTCCGAACAATTCCTCAGAGCACTCCCCGTGATAGATGCGATAAAATACGCAAAGAGATGCAACATCTCTACGCAGTGCCAGTGTATCGAGCCGATCAGAAAGAACTCGGTCGTCGACGATTCGAACCGCTCTGCGCTGGATGCGGTCAAGTGGAAGGAGCTGGCACTGGTGTGCCCCGGCCCAGAGATGAGAACAGTATTCCATGTGGGGCCGAACCTGCGCTTTGTAAAGTTGCAAGCGATGTCTCGCTCTGCTAAGCACGCCAAGCTTTTTAGAGGCCAATATGGCCTCCCCTTCCAAGTGACCACGAAAGTGCACACTATTCGATATGTCGACGCCAAGGATTCCGATACTAGCTGAGGCAGCAAGGGGAGTGCCTTGAAACTGAGGAGATACGACAAAGGGGTTCTTTTTAGCGGTAAACGCGCAAACTTGTGTCTTCTGGGGATTGAACTGGACTAGATTTAGTCGGCCCCAATCCGAGACTTTGTTTCCCGAGAAATATTGGCACGGCCGGTATATAAGGCATCACCAGTGCTGTCGTCCGCATAGCAATGAATGCTACCAGTTAGCAACATATCATTGATATGCAGGAGAAACAGCGTTGGTGATAGCACGCAGCCTTGTGGAACACCAGCGTTGATAGGCTTGAAATCAGAGCATGCACCGTCTACTACGACCTTGATACTCCGATCAGCAAGGAAACTGGTGATCCATTTGCACAATTTCTCGGGAAGCCCATAGGAAGGAAGCTTCGAAAGAAGCGCTTTGTGCCAGACCCGATCGAAGGCCTTCGCTATGTCCAAACTAACGGCCAATGCTTCCCCCTTGGACTCTACTGCCTCCGCCCATCTATGAGTCAGATAGACTAGAAGATCACCAGCTGATCGACCTCGACGAAAACCGTACTGGCGGTCACTAATCAGCTGGTGATCCTCAAGGTACCTCATGAGCTGGCAGTTTATAATGGATTCCATTATTTTGGAGAACAAGGAGGTGATGGCAATAGGCCTGTAGTTGGACGGGTCTGAGCGGTCGCCTTTTTTAGGGATCGGGTGGATCAAAGCTGTCTTCCATGAATTCGGGACTACGCCTTGGGAGTAGGAGTACCGGAAAAGATGCGTTAAAACCAGTGCCAACTCCGGAGCACACGTCTTCAGCGCAATGGGAGGGATTCGATCGGGCCCACTAGACTTGCTGACGTCCAGGGAGAAGAGTGCTTTGCGAACCGAGCGCTGTGTAAACCTCACATCCGGCATGGAGCACTTACATCGCGGGATGGTCGGCGGTGTGTTCCCCCTGTCAGCTAGAGTCGAGTTGGACGCAAAAAGAGAGCTCAACAGATCGGCTTTCTCCTTTGCGGCATGGGCCAGTGAGTCGTCCTCTCTGCGCAGAGATGGAAGAGATGGCTGACAGAAGTTCCCCTGGACAGCCTTGGCGAGAGACCAGAATGCACGGGTTCCCGAAGGAAGGCGAACTAGCTTCTCGCCAATTCTGCCGATATGCTCAGACCTTGCCTTGGCAATGACGCTTTTGAAGGATCTGGAGGCGGAGTTATACTTCTTTTTAAGTGCGCTGGTGTTTACATCCCGAGACGTTGATGCGTCAGCCCAGGCTCGGTAGCACTCATGCTTATAGCGTGATGCTATTTTACAGGAGCGACCAAACCATGGCTGGGATCTGCCACCAATGGGCACCACAGAGGATGGAATAAAAAGTTCCATACCCTGAATACCAAATCAGTAACAGAATCGGCAATAACGCTGGGATCTTCCGGCGAGAAGCAAACCCGCCCCCAAGGGTAGGATGCAAAAACAGACAGCATCCCGTCCCAATCAGCTGACCTATAGTGCCAAACACGGCGGCAAGTTGCAGATCGCAACTGAGATTGGAGCGTGAGTGGCACCGTACTCCGGATCAGACAATGGTCCGAAGAGCCCAGAGGGGCATAGACGGAAACCTGATATCCATCCGGATGAGAGGTCAGCAGAAGGTCCAACAGGGAAGGTACATGGTCTTCCACATCTGGGATCCGCGTAGGCGAAGTAACCAATTGTGTCGCAACCAAAAGCAAGTCTTAGACAGATCTACCCGCATGATCGGTTAAACGAGAACCAAGCCATTCAGCGTGGTGGGCGTTAAAATCACCGAGTATCACGATCTCTGCGGATGTTGTAGCACGGAGTCTGCAGCCATTTAGACGTGGTCGATGAGTCTGTGTCGACATTACCGCTATGGGACGTATAGAGGCACCCGTAGACGGGGGGTGGTCATCGCTGTCTACGCGCAGCCATAGGATGGACAGGTCCGTACCTTCAGGACTGCCGAGGCGTCGAAAACAGATGTCCTCTCTGACGTATACGCAAACTCCAGCCCAGGGCACAAAGGAGTGTTCCAATTTGTACCCCGGGTAGGAGAGATATGAAGTATCAGCCGGAGAGGACACCTGAGTCTCGGTTAAAAAGAGCAAGGCCGGCTTCGCCATCTCTAGATGGTAATGGACAGCGTTAAGGTTGGAATGAAGTCCCCTGATGTTGCAAAAATTCACGGATAGCATGACAGGGGTCGCCTTGGTTGTATTGCTCCGCTTGCCCCGAGCAGCATTAGTTGCGAGCGGAATTCCCCCCCCCCCCCTCCAGAATACGCGGGGCAGCCTGAGCATCCACGCTCAGGATTGAAGTAGTTTGGTCGTGGATGCTCAGCGAGGGATTCTCCAGGGGTGCTGGTACCCTTCTGGGGTACTCTTTTATTTAATTCCACTACCATGTTGATGGGGGGGGGGGGGGGGGTTTGGGCCTCCGGCCACCTGCACTCACCAAGCGCAACGCAGAGGTAAACCTTTACTTCACGCTGGGAGCTGGCCCATCCGTGCGACAGCAAAAGCTACCGCTTAGCTCTACCATTGTTAAACCACTATACGGACTAAGATGGAATGCCTCGTTTCCAGTAAAAGGGTCTCTCTGGTTCTCTACACTTACTATAAGAAATACAGAAACATTAAGCTGCTATTTTACGCTGGTATTCTTTGAGAGCGTGGTACTTTCCCGGTCAAGCCAGCCCATTCGTGCTACAAATATACAATTTAGCGAGCGAAAAATATCGAAATATCTATATTTTATTAAAATATTTTTAATCGTGATATACCTCGATACTGTTTAAAAATATAGATTCGATATATATCGAAATACACATACATACAAGTAATACTTAAGTACTTTATTACAAAACTTAGTTGAAATTTACTTCACTACCCAAGTACCTACTTACATACCTATACTTGTCTTTGTAATTAAAATATTTTAAGTTATAATAACACAAAATACTGAAATTAAAACTTTGTTTAGAAGATTTTTAACATAGTAGAATACGATCACAGTTTTGTTAGAAATCGTATTTCGGGTTTATTTGTTGTTTACACTATAAAGTAACTATTTCTTCCGAGCCAAACATCGCTATTCCCGACGATTAGCCTTGCAAGTTCCAAGCGTTGGGCATCACAGAACTCACATAGTAGCGGAAATATGGTCTAGATCATAGTCAGAATAGGTACCTAAGTAACTTACCACTTCACAGTATATTTTTTTACTATTTATTAACAACCCTTAGTAACCACGGAAAGTCCGTTGTGACGTAGGAAGGGGAAATGATGCAAAGTAATACGGACACTCGCGCGCAGCGATAAAGTTTTATTTAGCTTGCGTGCGCGCTTTATCTGATTAATAATAACTATGTAGGCTATTGAAACTTCGGCAAGCAGTCAACATCAAAGGAGTGCAACTTCTGTACGTAGTACTATTATTTATTCTGTGACTTAGGTGACGGACGCACCTACGTATTGCGAAGTAGTGCAGTATAAAGGAAAGTTTCTTATTACTTGATACTGGCAGAAGTATTATCGTACGAGCCCATTGCCAAAGAAAGAAAGAAGTAATTTTGGTTCATAAATATCGAATTTGTTAATTACTTGACTACAGCACCATCTATCGAATCCTAGCATAGTTATGAACTATTGCTTCTATAAAACAAGTAAGTACATTGTGCAAATATGATTTGACTAACAGACGCATCAACAACACGCTCTCACAGAATACCAGCATATAATAGCAGCTTAATGCTGCTGTGTTTCGTACAGTGAGTGTAGTGTAGAGAACCGGAGACTCCTTTTATTACAATTGAGGCATTCTATCTTAATCCTCACGGCTGACAGCACATTTGCATTTTGATTCTTTATTGAGGATAGATTTTTTTATCATGCACTGGAAGTATTTTACATCATTTAAATTTTTTTTCATAATTTGTTTCACACTTTAATTTTACTTTTTTCACTTACTAAATACTTAAGTAGTCTAATCTGTAAATGTTTTATACGATCTAATTGTGTTTTGAATGTTAGCCCATAACTGCTCAATCCATAATTGATTACAGAGTCAGCCAGTCAGACTTTTCGATTCATGAAATTGCTTAGGTGAAAGAATCTACCCAGTATTACATACACCATTGATGTCCAGTTTCCAGTTCATATTACTATCTACTGTCAGGCCTAAGTATCAGGTATTTATCTACTACATCTGTTTGTGCACTGGCAGCCAGCTTTATTAAGGTGTAGACACTCATATGTATGCCCAATTATATTTATGTTTAATTTACCTTGCTTAATGACGTTACTGTGGGGTGAACTTATATACATAGCCTTTGTTTTAGATATATTTATAATTATACCGTTATCATGTGGCCTTTTAATTATATTTTCTAAGTCCTCCTGTAAGTATTTTTGTGCATCACTCGTGTTATTGGTTGAGTACATTAGGCACATGGAGATGTGTATGGTCCACAGCATTCACTTACCATCAGGTGGCCGTGGACCTTGTGCTCGTTTGTCACTTATATATAAAGATAAAGATGAACTCACCTAGTAGGCATTCGCTTGAGGACCTCTTCTCCGAGCCTGAACTTCTGCTGGCAGCGCTCAACGAAGCGGTCCAGCATTATGTATGCGAGGGGTACGTCCAGGACTATATCGGTCATATCCTCTAGGACGCGAAGGAAACCCTGTAATAATAGCATGCTAAGATTTAACCAGATTCAATGAAAACAGATATCAGTTTATGTTATTATTATAAACAAGCGACCCGCGCCGGCTTTGCCTGGATTTGAATATATTAATGTGTCGTTATTTTGATTAAAGATAATCATCAAAGACTATATATTTTATCAATTTTTCGATTTAGCCTAGCTCACACTCATGGCATTGCTCTCTATTGCTCTTTTCAACCGACAAAAAAAGAGGAGGTTCTCAATTCGTCCGAATCTTTTTTTATTTATGTTCACCGGTTTCAAAGACGCCTGAACCGGTTTGGATAATTCTTTGTTTGTTTTAAAGGTATACTTTCCAGGTGATCCCATTTAAATTTTATCGAAGTCGGTCTAGTGGTTTTAAAAAAAATCAATAATAAATTATTTATATTGAAGTCGGTTGTACAAAAATTTAAATTTTACTTGTCGTAAATTTTCGTTATAATCTGTTCAGGCATTGCGAAGATTAGCCCGGACAGACGGACAATATAAAAAAAAAATGGTTTTTTATCTCATAATAGCATGCAAATAACCCCCGAGTTTATTAGAAGCCAGTTATTTCAATATTACAGACAGACACTAGTTTTATTTATAGATATTAGTATTACTTCTGTATCAGCAGACCCATTGCATATAATATGGCAGTAGATGTCTTAAAATTAATGTCTCTCATACTTGACGAAAATTAAATATTCATTTAAAATCTAACGTCTTTACTACTGTCATATTCAAATATATTTTTTTTTACGATTTAGATGTACCTACTTGTTTTTATTGTTACAGCCTATAAAAAGTCCACTGAACATAGGCCTCTATCTCATAAGATATTTACCATAGTTTCCACACTTGGCAGGTGGGTTAACAACCACAGTTTTATTTTTAGTTGTTATTGGGAAGATGCTAGCTACTGTCCATCCTCTGGTTGGTTTCCTTCTATCGCCTCTTACGATACTCGCGGGACGATATGGGGTAATGGATAAATTGTATTAGTGGATATTGATTGTATGTTGGCGGTGAAAGAATACTTTGTTAATTGATAAATTTAATTTAGGTATTTTAATATTAAAAAGTGGAAACACTTATATAACAACTTCGACAGAAATGGGGGTTTACCGTGGTATACTGAACATATCTGCTTACCCCTTTAAAGGGTACAGGCGTGATGTTATGTTGTGTGATTGCGTAAACAATGCAAATGTGCGATCCCCATCACACATCTTCAGATCTTTATAAAATTTAAATGGGACCGTTTCGAAACAAACCTCTTTAAAACAAAAAAATAATTTTGAAAATCCGTATAAATATGACGTAGTTATGCTCGACCATACAAAATTGTTTAAATCGATTTACTCAGTCGATCTATTCGATCTTATAACTCAGAGATGACACTGAATTGTCATTTCAATGAGAGCATCCACAAATTTTTTGACACCAGGGCGATCATAGCGTATGAAGTAAATTTGTTAGATAATTTAAAATTAAAAATTTTGTACAACCGACTTCAATATAAATTATTAAGGATAACTCAAAAATTATTGGTCAGACCTTGATGAAATTTATATGGGACCACATGTGAAGCACCAGCTTTCAATTAAAAAAAGAATCATTGAAATCGGTTTACCCAGTAATAACTTATGAGGTAGCACACATAAAAATCCCTCTCCTTTTTGAAGTCGGTAGAAAAGTGTAGAAATTAATGTATCTTTCCGAAATATAAGTAATATTTTATTATAATTAGATGAGAAATGAAACCTAAAAAAAACTTTTAAAACACAACACTTCAATGATAATGACACTGACCATGCGTAACAAATAAGTTCACCTTAGTCCCAACTAGCGACATCTGGTGAGCGTAACGACGGGAAGCGACTTTGTTTCATACTATGTGAGAAGATAAGAGATGAGAGAAGCCCTCATTTGGCATAACTATGTTAGTATTAGGTACTCTTGAGTGTCTTAGGTACTCTTGAATCTGGTTTATCACTGTTGTAAATTCACCTTTGTATCTACTAGTGAGGACCTTTATTTGGCTTACTATAGTTATTAGTATTATCTATTCTAATTATGAAAGCTGTTGGTCTTCCAACTAAAATAAAATAAAAATAGGCTTCATTTTTAATATAATATATAGATATTTAATATATATAGATGAAGGTGTTTACTTATGGGCCACAGTATCCACTTACCTTCAGGAGTACTGTGTGCTCTTCTTTTGACACGATTACTTCTAAGAAAACTTTAAATAACTAACCCGGTCCATCTGGTCCGGAGTGACGATGACGCAACGTCGCAACTCGGCGAGGAACGTGCACAGTTGCTCTTCCACGCCCGAATTGATCGCTTCCACCGCCAAAAGTACAGTCTAAAAAATATATATCTACATGGTAAAACCACGCTGCAGCTATATTGTGGTTGTAGCACGAATAGGTCGGCTCGACCGGTAGGACCACGCTCTCACAGAATACCAACGTGAAATATAACAAGTGTAGAGAACTGGAGATCCTTTTTACTGAAAATGAGGCATTCCATCGTAGTCTTCCAGGGTGGCATCTGCAATTTTAACTCTTGATCGAGGTTAGATGTAAATATCATCATCAGGTGAACTGTGTGCTCGTTCTTCACTCTTTATTCTATAAAATATATCACAAAGCAATATTTTTTTAAACTTTTTATAACTATTTGTAAATAACATGGTAGGAACTAGCATTATTATCCACAATCATATAATCAACAAAGACCTCTTCTAAGAAACAACAAAAAGATTTCTGAGCCACCTGTGTCCATCCTTATTCTGCATGTCTTACCAGGTCATCACTCCATCTAGTAGGGCAGTAAAGCCACATTAGCTAATGGTAGGGTGCAGACCGTGAACTCATAGTCGTGGGGTCGAATCCGCGATTCGACTACTGTAGTGAACCACTCCCCATACCATATAGTGCTCACCTCATATACCAGCTCGTGGTGGAAATGCGGCACCTCTAGCTCTCTCACGCAGCGCATGCCTTCAGCTAAGTCGCCGGATGACAAGTACTCTTTCAGGAGAAGCTGTATCTGGCGTATCAACCACTTCACTGGCCTGAAAATGAACATTGGATATATTTTCAATTTTCTCACATTTACAACCTTCCATAAACATTTTGTGTGATTTTATTTGAATACAAATGACATCAAATATATAAAAATTAATGTGTGTTTGTTCGTATTTTAGGCGTTGCCACACCGTTCTTCAGATTGCGGTGAAACTTTGTCAACTTATTGCTTGCACTTGCGCGAAGGTTATAGGCATAGTACAATTAACTTACAGTGGATGGCGTGCGTATCGTACCGACAAATTTATTTGGAAGTTGTATATCAGTAAACTTCAATGAATGTATTATCATTCCTAATTAAGCAATATAACCCTACCAAATTTAAAATGTCTCTGTACAGACTGGCCACAGTGACCGAAATTCGGTCTGGATGACATTATTATTATTGGGGTATTTATAAAGTATTCTCATCTGGTTGGTCTGAATAAATATAATATACTAGTTGACCAGGCAGACGTTGTTCTGCCCTTTCCGGACGACCATTTGCTTTCTCAAAAAAAAAAACTCCTAAAATTAGCAATAAAAAAATTGAGGGTCACTTATCGGGATAAAAACTATCCTATCTCTCAAGTTGGACCAAACTGCACACAGTGTGCAAAATTTCATTGCAATCAGTTCAGTAGTTTAGACAGTTCATCGCGGACAAACAACGTGACACGTAATTTTTATATATAAAGATTATAAAAGGATTTATCTTTTTCGAGCGGATGGATGTACGCAAGGTAATTTTTACCAACTTTAATTTAAATATACATTATTATGACCTAATAGGAAGCACTGTGGTCGAGTTATTAAACTTTATATTTACACTGAAAAGTTCGGACTGAATACGAGAAATGAGTGAAACTCATGGCGTCACCTACCGGAAATGTCATGTCTACCGGGCCATCTGGCTACGTATATAATTTGTATTCACCTGATGCCGCCACCAATTCCCCAAATATTATCGAGCCTCACGAGGCCCTGTTTCATGGACAGGAGTGTCTCCGCTCTGTGGATTGCCTGCCTGTAACAAAAAAAATTAAGTTGATTAATATTGATGTTTCTTTTTAAATCAATTTTCACTACACTTGTTATATTATGCAAAGTACTATACAACATTATATAAAAAAATAATTGCATAAGTAGGTACAACTTGAATTGTGAAGAAGTTACAGCCTGTATATGTCCTACTGCTGGGCCTCTTCTCATTTCTGAGAGGGTTTTAGGGAAAGGAAATGTCCACCGCGCTGCCCCAATGCGTGTCGGCGAACTTCTCATCTTCGAAATATTTTTTTTTCTTATTTCTCAGACACGCAGGTTTCCACACGATGTTTTCCTTTACCGCCGAGCACGTGGTAAATTAGCACATAAAATTGCAATTAACAATTTCTTTGGTGCCGGCGAGGTTTGAACCCGGGTTGCTCGCGTACTGTAAACACTATGGTTAGCGCTCGTTGTAAAAACTTACAACGAGCGCTAACCATCTGAGCTACCACGGCTCGAACTGCGATATTTTCTACAGACTTTAAAAAGGAGACGGTACTCAATTCGTAATATCCTCACAACTTTTTTCTAGGCTAACCGATTTCGATGATTCTTTTTTTATTTGAAAGCTGGTGCTTCTCATGTGGTAATATGATCAAGGTCTGACAAATAGTTTTTGAGTCATTCTTAATAATTTATATTGAAGTCGGTTGTACAAAATTTTTAATTTTTAATTATTGTATAAATAAATACACAATATTTTTGAATGAAAACTTTATTTAACTAAAACTTTAAACTAAATTTATTTTAAAAATTCTTCGTTTTCCCTTCCCGAGCAGTTTAACAGTACATAAAGTGCATTAAAAACTTAAAAAAAATACTAATATTGCTAGTAACAATAGTATTAATAATAATAATAAATTTTTATTTCGGATAACAAATGAGATCCATATCACAGATATTAGAAAAATCACAAAATAATAATAATAGTACAGCTAGGTGGACGGAGAAAGTAAAATGACATGACAGGCACGTACGCACGCACGCACGCACGCACGCACGCACGCACGCACGCACGCACGCACGCACGCAAAGAAGAAGGTTGGAAGCAAATAGAAAGAGAATTAGATTAACACGTTAACAGGAGAGTTTAGATCATCGCGAAGAAAGACTGTAAGAATAGGAAGCAGACTAAAAGATAGCGATGGTTGTGTGAAGTGGTAGCAACTTTTCAAGCTACGAAGGGTTATGGCGACATTGAGCGCAGGATGTTGCGGATAATTTTATGCTGAACGTCACGGTTTACAAATTACAAGGTACGACCCTTGATAAAGCTGTAATCGACCTCGGAAAGAAGGTGTTTGCCAAAGGGCAGGCATATGTGGCACTGAGTAGAGTAAAAACACTTGAGGGTATTGCTTTATCTGATCTAGAGCCAAATAAGGTATTACACAAACCTCACGATGAACGAGCTTTAGCAGAAATGCAGAAACTGAGAGGTCTACACACAAGAGACTGACAGGTCTAAAGCTTATTCATCGAGAGGTTTTTTGTAATGTAATGTAATTATTATGTAATGTAGTAACACACAACTCAGCATTAGAATATGTGAGTAAACAATAAATCACCCCTATTTTACCACCCTTAGGGTAGACGTTTCGTTTTCAAATTTATATGGGACCAATTTAGGGGTATACCCTATCTAATAAAAAAAGAATTATCAAAATCGGCCGACTATGTAAAAAAGTTATGCGTGGTCATACATAAAAAAAATATACACGTCGATTTGAGAACCTCCGTTTTTTCGTCGGTTAAAAAATAAACTGATGATATTTTAATTCCTTACCATGTATGTAGTATGGACCATTTTAATCTGAACAGACAGATTTCCAGAAATTTCATACTTTTTGATTTATAAGGTCTGTATATTTTCTGGGACTGGTAAAAGCGTATACATGTTAGCCCATGAAGGAATTATTGACTTTTCGGAGTCAAGTAACTGCTATAACAACTATCTTGTGCTTGTTCCTAATATTTACAGAATTTACATCACTATTTTTAATAAAACTATTTTTGTTTTTGTGTATATTATATGAAATATTTATGAACTAAATTATATTAAATAATTTTTATATATGTTTTGCAGGCGAAATGTTCGTCCAGAAGTAGTCGTCGCCGTTGAGCGGTTGGATGAGGAGAACGGCAACGAGTACTTGTTCGCGGACGAGCACGAACTTTTCGGTGAGGAGGTGGTGGCGAGTTAAGAGTAGTGGTGCTGTGCTAGGCGTGCGGGGAGGTGCGGGGAGCAGCGGGGAGGGGAGCAAGGCGGTGGACGCGCCAGCGGTGCGCGCGTCCCCGTTCCCTCATCCGCCTAAGTATATGTGGCAGACGATGATGTGACTGAGGATTTGCGAGATAGCATTTTGAGACTGGTAGCTAATAGGGAAGCTCGGAAGAGAAGGAGAAGGATGGAAGTAGATAACGATGTTCAAGCGGATAACGTTGGACATGCGGCGCTATTCATGGGAGATGCAACTTCAGAAAAAGGGTAATGTTTTTCGGTGTAGTTAGGATTTGTCTTAGTATTACTAACTATTTTACAATGGCTATTTGTCACATTAGTTGGTTTGGATTGACATATGTATACATATTTGAAATTATGTATGATTTTTAATTTATTGAATGTTAAAAACTTGAGTTTATTTGAAGATAGCTTAACTGATATTTCTATTTGGCTTTTGTAATAATTTGTTTTGAATAGAATGTAATTAATTTTTATGCAATACATATAATACTTATTGGAAAGCTATTCTGTGTTTTTACTCTTGGTTCCGAAAAAAACTGTCGTTTTTAGTTGTTATTATGAAGGTGCTGCTGCCCATTTCGAAACGATATTAGTAGATATATTCTTACTCCATCACTACATGGTTTGTCTTTTAATACAACCTATTTTTATTTACTTGGCTACTTCAGAAAAGGGTTAATGTTTTTCGAGTACACATGTATGGATGTCGTTTTCTTTAGCACGCTCTGTAACCTAAACTAAAAAAAAATTAAAAATAGATTACATATGGTTTGTAGTTAGATTTCTCTTAGTTATGGAAATGACATATATTACTTTAATTTGTTCTTTTCAGTAAACTTATTTGGTTTTGTTATTTATTACTGTTTTAACCATTTTACTTGTTTATGCAACTTTTCTACACTTATTTATTATTTTTTTTAATAAATATTATAAAGAGGAAAGATTTGTTTGTTTGTTTGAATTGAATAGGCTCCGAAACTACTGGACCGATTTGTAAATTCTTTCACCATTAGAATCCTACATTATCCCTGATGAACATAGGCTATATAATATTTTCAAAAAATTTAGGGATCCGTATGAAAACTTCGTTAAACGGTTATTTAAAAATAACCCTTTTCCCAAGTCTCTAACGGCATTCATGAGATGATATGGATATTCATGCACCGCCACTACAAGGTAATTGATAATTTCTGAAAACATTTTATTATCGACAACGTCTTGCAATTGTCGTTTCTCTAGCGCTCAACTTGACCTTCATACAAATAATTTAATATTTTAATGATAATTTTATCTTTATTTTAAGATAAAACATAGTAAAATTAATTGGCAAAATGACTCTACGTTATTTTTACATTTATCTAACGAAAAATTGTCGTTGTATGACCATAGGCCTAAATTGATCCAATAAAATGTCGGTGCTTGGCCTGAACAACTGCGCTACCCACCCTACAGCCCAGACCTGGCCACAAGCGACTATAATTTGTTTCCAAAAATGAAGAAAGAACTACGTGGGAAAACATTCGGCGACGATGATGAAGTGAAGTCGACAATTTCGGCCTATTTTGACGGCCAAGACAACTTTTTTCTTGACGGTAAGTTATTTGACAGATCTAATAAATGTTTAAGGAAGAATACGACGAAAAGGAAAAATAGTTTAATATTTCATTTCATTATCTTTCCCTGTCATTCCGCTATTGACCTCCCCTCGTATGTCTGCGGACAAGCACAAGTATCTGCACATTTCGTGTTCGAAGGGTATATCGAGCCAGTTTATTATAGGCTGCGACAACAAATCTTTGGAGTTTGAATAGGGTCCTTCATACAGGCATAATTGATAGAATTCACTCAAAAATTCCTATCTTACAAGCCAAGTACGATAAGATCCCTAAACAATTTGTATTCAATAAGAAGCATGAGATACAATTAAATGAATCCAGCCAGCCGGAAGAATTAAGCCCAAAAGAACTTAGAGTTTTCACCGATGGTTCTAAAACAAATGAAGGTGTAGGATCTGGAACTTTCTCTGAAGACCTCAATATCCACATATGCACACCGCTGGGTACCTACAACACAAGTCTTTCAGGCGGAATGTATGGGTATCATTCAAGCGGCCATAGCAATAGATGCTAGGAAGGTTAATGACTTCTCCATCAGAATACTGACCGACAGTAGGGCGGTACTACAAGCTCTGAGTTGCAATGTGGTGAACTCGGGACTAATATAAGAATGCCATCAACGATTAAATGAGGTATGTAAACACAATGTGACTCTGCAATGGATAAAGGAACACAGTGGATTCAGAGGCAACGATGCAGCAGACGAACTGACCAGAAAAGGATCGGCTATGGCCACTATAGGGCCGGAACCAATCATAACAATCTGTAATGTTCGTTCACTAGTACGTAGACACTTCACTAATCAACATGCTCAGCTTTGGAAGAATCTGGTAGACTGCAAACAAGCCGCAGATTAGGATAGTAACAAGTGCTATCACTGCACACGGCACCTGTCCAGGGCATGTATGGGGGAGGAAGAAACGGCGGTCCACGTGTTGCTGACATGTCCAGAGGTCGCTGTATACAGGGCTAAACATCACGGCACGCCGGGATCACTCCACTTGAACTTGCTAGCAACATCAAAGTATTGTTGAACTTCTTCGGGGAGATCTCATGGCTCGAATAATTACATTGTGCTCCGGAGTTGGCACCGGTTCTAACGCGTCTTTTCCGGTACTCCTACTCCCTAGGTGTAGTCCCGAAATCATGGAAGACAGCTTTTGTCCACCCGATCCCCAAAAAAGGCGACCGCTCAGACCCGTCCAACTACAGGCCTATCGCCATCACCTCCTTGTTCTCCAAAATAATGGAATCCATTATTAACTGCCAGCTCATGCGGTACCTTGAGGATCACCAGATAATTAGTGACAGCCAATACGGTTTTCGTCGTGGTCGATCAGCTGGTGATCGTCTGGTCTACCTGACTCATGGATGGGCGGAGGCAGTAGAGTCCAAGGGGGAGGCGTTGGCCGTTAGTTTGGACATTGCGAAGGCCTTCGATCGGGTTTGGCACAAAGCGCTTCTTTCGAAGCTCCCTTCCTATGGGCTTCCCGAGAAATTGTGCGATTCGATCACCAGCTTCGTAGTTAATAGGCTTGTAGTTGGAGCATGCACCGTCGTTGTAGACGGTGCATGCTCCAACTACAAGCCTATTAACGCTGGTGTTCCACAAGGCTGTGTGCTATCACCAACGCTGTTTCTTCTGCATATCAATGATATGTTGCAAACCGGTAGCATTCATTGCTATGCGGATGAGAGCACTGGTGATGCTCTATACACCGGCCGTGCCAATATTTCTCGGGAAAACGTCGCCGAGTACGGGAACAAATTTGTGTCTGAAGTCGAGTCTCTGTTGAACAAAGTCTCGGATTGGGGGCGACTAAATCTAGTCCAGTTTAATCCTCAGAAGACACAAGTTTGCGCGTTAACCGCTAAAAAGAACCCCTTTGTCGTATCTCCTCAGTTTCAAGGCACTCCCCTTCTTGCCTCAGCCAGTATCGGAATCCTCGGCGTCGACATATCGAGTGACGTGCAGTTTCGTGGTCACTTGGAAGAGAAGGCCAAATTGGCCTCTAAAAAGCTTGGCGTGCTCAGCAGAGCGGGACAGTATTTCATGCCGGCACACCGCGTGCAACTTTACAAGGCGCAGGTTCGGCCTCACATGGAATACTGTTCCCATCTCTGGGCTGGGGCTCCCCAGTGCCAGCTCCTTCCACTTGACCGCATCCAGCGCAGAGCGGCGCGAAACATCGACGACCGAGTCCTTTCGGCTCGATTCATTGGCATTGCGAAGAGATGTTGCTTCCGGTCGCATTTTCTTTCGCATTTACCACAGGGAGTGCTGTGAGGAATTGTTCGGATTAATCCCAGCCGCCAAATTTCACGAACGCACATCCCGGCAGATCTCCCGATACCATCCACACCATCTGGATGATTGGCGGTCCACCACTGTGTGATTTAGAAGATGTTCCCTTCCTCGTACAACTTCCTTGTGGAATCAATTACCACCAGCGAATTTTCCGGACCGATACGACTTAGGAACCTTCAAGAAAAGAGCTTACACCTTTCTAAAAGGCCGGCAACGCATCTGCAATTCCTCTGGTGTTGCGGTTGTTCATGGGCGGCGGTAGTCACTTACCATCAGGTGAGCCGCATGCTCGTTTGCCCCCTCTTCTATAAAAAAAAAGTCCTCACGGGTGCCGTCCTGGTAGCGATGTGGGGTGCTTTGAGTAAATGAGACTCGTTACGACGGTTGAAACAAAACTACCACACTAGACTGGTACTGTGGCTGATGGGACTGATTAGTCCTGTATTGTATTAAAAATATTACAGTTCCCATATACTTAATTCTAACAAAGAAAGGTGGAAGAGTTCACGTTGGTACATAGGTCAGTTATAAGTGACGGTTTCCAATGAATTTTCAAGCTACATTGTATGATCTTATTACAATCCTTTATATCAGGAGTTACCAAATGGCGGACCGCGGTCGGAATCCGGACCACCGACCTATTTTGTGCAGACCAGATTCGAGAAATCTTATGTACTCTTACATGGGGGTAGGGGGGTCAAAAATCGCCAAAATTGTCCTTACGTATATAATGAATAGCTAGCTACCTACGTACACAGTAAACGAAAATCGAAGCGGCGGCCACCGCGGCGACTGGTATCGTATGTGTTCGTGTTGGTACCTGGCATGCGCGTTGAGGTCGGCCTCGGCCATGGACTGCACGAAGCGCGGCGGCAGGCAGTCGTCGGCCACGCAGCGCGCGATGAAGTTGGACAGCAGCACCGCCGCGTCCGGCGTGTCCAGCACCAGGTCCGGCAGTTTCTCCAGCAGGCGCTCGAACGCTGCGCCACACGCGATAAGTTCCGATAAGTTGCTACAAGTTACAAAACTGCCATGCTGCAACTATATTAGTAACATAGTTGTAGCACGAATAGGTCGGCTCGACCGGGGAAGGGCCACGCTCTCACAGAATACCAGCGTAAGATAGCAGCTTAACGCCCTTTCGTTTGGTGAATGTAGAGAACCGGAGACCCTTTTTACTGGAAAACAGGCATATCATCTTAGTCGTCATGGCTGACAATACATCTGCATTTTAATTCGTAGTTGAGGATGGATGTCAATGGGCCACAGTAACTACTTACTATCAGGTGGACTGTGAGCTCGTTTGTCACCGTTATCCTATAAAAAAAAAGTTATTTATATTATAATGTAAATCGAAGTGTTATGATTGCATAGGAAGAGCGAGGCACTCCCAACACAAGTATCTTAGGATTACTTTCTGGGAGGCCTTGGCAAATCAATTGTAAAAAAGATTTACTGAAATAAAACATTTTTATTATTTTTATTATTTATATTATTATTATACCATCTATCGCAGACATGTCAAACACTGCTGCGGCTCACGAATTATTAAAGCAGATTAATCTAAAGATTTCAATTATTTAATTACACTAGCGTGAGCAACCTTTACTCTATACATATATAAAAATCAATTTCAATGTTCTATGCAAGAGTGGTTCTTTCCTCCCTAAGCCAACCCATTCATGAAGTTACTATCACATAATATTACCTTTGTTTTTTTTTAATTTATATATAAAAAACTAATTTCAATAGCTCATAAAAATATATCAAGGCTTCAAGAACTTCTTCTGCCACCAGGGCGGCGCCACTTTGTTAAAATATTTGACAGATGCCATGGTGGGGAAGTTAAATAATTGGAAAAGTGTAAAGATTAAAGTTTCTTTTTGGAATACTAGTTATATATTGTAATATTGTATTAATTAGATTAGAAGTACTTGGATACTTAGGCGTGCATGCATGAAGAAGATAATGAATCTGAAAGAAGCGAAAGAGGTTTGTAAGGATCGTGACACTTGGCGATCTGTTCTCTCTGGCTACCCCGTCAGGGATTGTGCGTGAAGCTAAGTTTTAAGTTTTAGAAATGGATAAACGAAACTCTGGATATTCCTAAAAGTAGGAATTGAAAATAAAGAGTTCAAAAATGGGCAAAAAATTGAAAGGCACGCCACTGAGGCATTGAACAATTGCAACTTTTTATTTTACTCTACTTTTCATGATGATGACACTATTTCACAAGTAATTTCACCTCAGTCCTAACTAGCGACATCTGGTGGGCGGAAGATTATTAGCCCTCATTGACATAAGGTATCCACAAACCTACAGTCGCTGTAATTATATTAAACTAGCGATCCACCCACTCGAGAACCTTTCTTCCCCATCGATTGTCGGTTCTTCGAGCTATATGGCCGGCCCATTGCCACTTCAGCTTACTAATCCGTTGGGCTATGTCGGTCACTCTAGTTCTACTGCGGATATCCTCATTTCTGAGTTTATCACGCAGAGAAACTCCGAGCATAGCCCTCTCCATAGCTCGCTGAGCGACCTTGAGCTCGAGTGGCAGCCTCGTATCGGCAGGCGAAGTGTAGGGCGTCCCCCCACTAGATGGAGTGACGACCTGGTAAGATATGCAGGAAGTCGATGGATGCAGGTGGCTCAGGACCGTGCTTTGTGGCATTCTTTGGGGGAGGCCTATGTTCAGCAGTGGACTTGTGAAGGGCTGTAATGATGATGATGATGATGAGCGATCCACCCCTGCTACGCACGGGTGATTTCGGATCTCGACAACAGCGCCACCTACCGGGTCCAAATGTGAATCTACACCATCTAGAGACCCACACATACGAAAACTCAACAAAATCGGTCGAGTCGTTTTTGTGTTTTAGCATGACTAATGGACAGCAATTGATTTTTATATATAGAGATATGTACGGTTTTGGGATATTCAAATGAATACAACAAACATAATAAACAGTACCCACCATAGCCAATGTCCTTGGCAGAGAAGATCCTGCCATACAAGTCGGAGATGAGTACTGATGCCATCTCACAGTGCGAGTGTTTGTGGTCCAGGGCTATTTCTACAATTGTCTCACAAACCTAGAACAGAAAAAAAATATTGTATGTGTTTGTAATATTGTACCCTTGTTTGGGAATAATCAACAAGTGAATTGACTATGAAGCAAATACAAAGAGGAGACGGCATAAGCAACTGTGCACTGTGATTCTAAGTAGGTCCTGACGTCATCATAGTGGGCGTGGCTTTAGTTAGTATACTGACAGCATTCGTCCTGTGCACTTATGTGTTGAAAATCGCAAATCGGTGTATTTTCGTAGTATTAAGAAGAAAGGGATGAAGTGTTGTGTTTTATTCTGTAAAAACTACTCAGATAGACGCTCCGATGCTATGGATGGCATCACATTTCATTTGTAAGTAATTTTTCACCTAATTTATTAAAATAGTTCTAGAAAAATCTCTTTGCGTCGGCTTTCAAATATAATCATCGCTACTAGATGGCGACACTTTGTGTCATGTGAACTAAATATATAAAGGTATTGCTCAGTATTGGTAAAATAATCATACGAAGGTGCTGAAATTTGTTTTGCATTCAGACAAAGAAATTTTAATCGCCAAAATATTATTTTTATAGTTTATAATCATTTTGTGAACAGGCCGCGATTTATCGTCAAGATAGCTAAACTACAACGCAACATCGATATAGAACGATTCGAGTAGTTTTACTATTTATCGGTAGATGTAGATAGTGTAAAGTGGGCGGGGCTTAACATCCCCTCACCTCGCAAATTGTCACGCGTTGTTACATAGTAAAATCTAATTTACAACACCTCCTCTTTGTATTTGCTTCATGGGATTGACAATCACAGTATCAAATGTCTCCCATCTTTAGACATTGTTTCACATTGACAATAAAACTGAAAGTCAAAGTCAAATATATTTTAATTATTGAATGAAACTAGTTTTACGGATTTTATCGCGTTTTACTAAGTTATTTTTTATTTCCGACATTTCGAGTACTTCATCACATGGTGACGGGGGAACCGAGATGTTTGACGTCCCAATGTCATTATTAATCATAGCTACCTCCAGTTTAAATTTATTAACTTTTGTTTCGATTTACGCAAAAGGAACATATAGCATCTTGACGTCTTGTACTTATATGCTTGGGTTGGGAATTAATTTTATTGAATGGAGGATCCCAAGCAGCCATCCTCTATAGGAATTAGGACGTTTTATGATTTTAATAACATCACGTATCATCCTTGGTAGGAAACAGTGCTTTTTTTCAGGACTTTTGCGAGGAATTGTGCTCTATCAAATCTGATGTAGTGATGGGATGTACAAGTTCACTGACTGCAAACTTCGCAGAGCGTCGATTCTTTACATCAGCCATATTTTAGTTTGCCATATGTACATCCATTAATATGTAGTGTTTATAACAAGAAATTATTATAATATGAAATTATTACACAAAATCTCACAGAATACCAGCGTAAAATAGCAGCTTAAGGCTGTTGTATATCGTATGGTGAGTGTAGAGAACCGGAGACCCTTTTTTTACTTGAAAAGGGGCATTCCATCTTAGGCCTCAAGGGATCTGCATTTTGATTATTTATTGAGATTAGATGTAGCCGTGTAGTGGCGGTTAAGAATATCCACTACCCCATAACTTCCCGTGGGTGTCGTAAAAGGCGACAAAGGGAAACAGGCAGGAGATGGGCAGCAGCATCTTCCTGATAACAGCAAAAATACAATAAAAAAACTGCGGTTGACAACCCGCTCGCCAAGCGTGGCAACTATGGCAAATACCCCCCATATGGATAAAGTTACTAAGAGACGGCCCCCAATTCCCGGCGGCCCCGCTATTCCTGGCTACGGTGGCGACCATGGTAACGTCGAGGCAGGGGGTGCTAATAATCTCCGGTGGAGGTTCGGTTGCCACCTACGACGACTCGACCTGGCAACATACAACGCACGCACCCTGAGGACTGACGAGAAGATTGTGGAGCTGGAAGAAGAGATAGACAAGTTACGCTGGCATATTATAGGATTATCCGAAGTCCGAAGAGAGAGGCAGGAAACGGTAATTCTCGAATCCGGCAACTTGCTCTATTACCGGGCGACCATCTGTCCCAAGGAAGTGTCGGATTTATCGTCCACAAGTTTCTCGTTAACAACGTTGTAAAGATTGAGTGTGTCGACGAGGGTTGCGTACCTTATACTCAGAATCACCAAACGGTATTCGCTGAAGGTCATACAGGTTTACGCACCAACCTCGGCACACCCCGATGAGGAGGTGGAGGAAATGTATGAGGATATCTCTAGAGCCATGCATTCCTCCAAAACCCAATATACGGTGTTAATGGGAGACTTCAATGCAAAACTAGGCACAAGAGAGAATGGTGAGCTGAAATTAGGGAAATTTGGAATAGGGCAACGGAATCCAAGGGGCCAGCAGCTGGCCGACTTCATGGAGAAAGAGGGTCTCTTTATGATGAAGTCTTTCTTCCAAAAACGGCCCCACAGGAAGTGGACCTGGACGAGCCCCGACGGTTCGACAAAAAATGAGATTGACTTCATTATGACGACCAGACGACGACTGTTCAGTGATGTCTCAGTGATCGCGAGGGTGAAAACCGGCAGCGATCACCGAATGGTTAGAGGCACACTGAACCTAAACATTAAGTTGGAGGAGAGAAAGTCAGAGGAGTACAATTTGCCACTATGTCTGGCGTATGTGGACTATGAGAAAGCCTTTGATTCCGTCGAAATTTGGGCGGTGCTGCAGTCCCTTCAGCGGTGCCAAGTGGACTGTCGGTATATCGAAGTGCTGAAGTGTTTGTACAGTAGGGCTACGATGGCTATCCGAGTACAGAACCAGAGTACGAAACCTATCCAATTGCAGAGATGTGTAAGACAGGGTGACGTCATATTGTACTGTGATATAGCCCCTACGACTATATATACATATTAGAGTTAAGTTAAGAATAGAGATCATTATAATTAAAGTTATAGAAGCATCAACACGCCTCTTTTCATTGACATAGTTCCTATATCACATGGCGAGCCTGCCAGGCGGTGCGCTGCTACAATGCACGCGCACCGCCACGGCCTGCAAAAGTTGTTGAAGTTAATATAAATGTTTACGCGGACTACACGGAATATATATACCCGGATGTAACAAAAAAAAATATGAATACAAGAAGAGGCCACAATAATAATTTTACAGAAGGTGACTGGAAAAATTTAGAAGTATAATGTATATGAATTAGTACTATGAAGGCAATTAAGAGGAAAATAAAAAGTGTTTTTTTATATAATGAGCAAAATTCAAGAAACGGCAGATTAATTTAAAAAGGATAGAAACGGTTGTAATGTTGAAAGCTTCGTCCAGAACCAGAAAAATGTCGAAATTGAACCAAAAGGAACAAAGAAGAAAATTTGAGGTAACATCGAAACAGCGTATTTTTTTTGTCATTTTTTAAAGATTTCTTTAAAAAGTTTTATAATTATTATAAAAAAATTACATATGTTTTTAATATATGATTAAGTTTTTTTATCAGATTATTCACGATAAAATCGATCTAAAAAAATGCAATCATATGACAAGAGCCTCTCCAAGAGAAAAAACGAATGAAATAATATAGTAGATTACATTCTTACGTACTTAAATTTACCATGGTTTACCATCAATAAATTTTTCGTATAGTTAAAATAATACTGATATATTATTAAATATGATATATTTCGTAGTTTTTTTTTCTGTAGTAAATTTAATTTAAAAACAATTCAGTATTGTTAATATGTAGGTATTAGTTTTTCTTTTATAAAGGCAGTAAACCTTAAAGTTATACTTATATACATAAACCTACTTAAAAATTAAAATTGTTCTTTTGAATGTCAAAAGTTAAGTAAGTAATTAACGTTTTGTTGTGTAAAGTTGATAGGTGTTATAGTGATTATTCAATTATTTTCTGTAAACGATATAGTAAATATACTTCTATCAATCTCTTTCGATCCAAGTAAAAGTAATGTAACTATCTAAAATTCTGTATAATAAGTAAGAAATTTAAAACGATCATTTTACTTGTATCCATGTATGTATGTAATAATAACATTGTATAAGTTATATTAGAATTAGGTCATCATATGTTATCGCAAACGTTTCCATATACCTACTTTGGTAATTAAAACAAAGGTGTCTCAAATCGCTTGCGCTGCTAAGAGTGGAATTACAATTTGTATTTTGATCTATCTGTTGTTATGCGATTATGTTATTGTTATTGAAAAAGATTACGTTGCTTTGACTTCTTTGTTCTATATCTTAATATGAAATACAATAATTTATTTTTTATTTAATATTGATTAAACTTTCATATCTTAAGGTTTTAACTATTATAATTCATTATTTTTGGGATAATAGCTTGAATATCTAACCTATTTGTGTGGATTATGAATATATAATATAAATACTTCGTTTAATTCAATTTTGAAACTCATTATATTATGTATACAATTAATTAATTTAAACTTTATTGTACCCATATTGTGAGCCACAATCCCTGACCGACAACGATGTACCTATTTTTTTTTATAGGATTATTATGCGAGACTATTTTATGATATAAATTTGTAAAAGACGTGAGTAAATGTTTGACCAAGTTACGGAATACGTAACTGTAAATGAAAAATATTAATAGTATGTAAGTGTGAGAGTAAGGTAAATAAAAATTATCTGAGATTAGCATATCCACATACAATCAGCTTGATCAGCTGAGAGTTTGGAAAACCTAATAACCGATTAATTTTTAAGGTGGTTCTGACACTATTAAATACGGAATAAGTTTTAATGTATTGTTAATGAGGTAAATGAGAATTTATTATGAATTGTATAAGAATATTATCCATAATATTAATCATGTATGTACGCGAGCCGTGTACGTGAAAATTATGGTACCAATAAATGATTAATAAATACTATAAATGTATAGAAATAAATAGAAATAAAACAAAAGTTGACCTGTAAATAAGTAATGGAGAGATACGGGAACGTCCATCACTGGTAAAGCATATAGTCCTCGAGCAGGGTATGTTTCCATGATTGGATGTTAAAATCGGAAGTAACGGATACTAGGGAACAATACCTTCAGTACAAGTGATGTGAACGAGTTTACTCATATTAGTAATGTTGGGGACCAGAAAAGTGTTAAATTTGTTACCCTTAAAAATGGTACATAGAGGTCACATCCTTCATTGGATCATAGTATGAACTCCGTGACAATTGTTGGAGTACCTTTTAAAATGACTTAAAAGTTGACCTCGAGGTTGTGCGCACAACCTAAGGTACAGTTTTACCTTGATATAGTATGATAAAAAAAAAAGTTTATGTACCAATAAAATGAAATAAATGTAGTGGAAATGTGATACAATACCCAAATAAATGGGGGGCCCATATGTATAAAGTACCCGTGTGATAAATATCACGAAATAAAATATAAATGAAATGAATTAATAGTCCTATTCTCGGTATCTAAATAATAAATAAATATATAAGTGCATAGAGAGAAATAAAGCTAGCTACAGGTCAAAAATATCAAGAAAATAAAGTACGTACAAGAATTATGAAAAAAAAAAGAATAAAAAAGCCATACTCGAAAATTAGGAATGAGATGAAAAAGTATGAATAAATAAATAAGAGAATAGTATTTTAAAATATAATGTACAACTATACTTCGCGAATCACCTAATTATGTCAAATGTAAGTATGTTGTATATATGCATGATACATCATACCAATTCCATGGTGACCTTGAAATTATTATAGGGTAGAGGGATCTGGCCACCCGAACTATCCATAGAATATACCTATATTTTATTTTTGTAATTTATATTTAGGTCAAATAATATATAATTACATTGTATTTTTGTAATTTATATTAATAATAAACATGTTTTATATTTATTTTTTGTCGGTGGGAGGTGTAGTGTGGTATAGCCCCCACGACTATATATACATATTAGAGTTAAGTTAAGAATAGAGATCATTACAATTAAAGTTAAAGAAGCATCAACACGCCTCTTTTCATTGACATGTTCGTATATTACAATATCCCCGAATCTCTTCACCGCTGCATTGGAAGACGTTTTCAAGCTTCTGGGCTGGAAAGGATACGGTATCATACGGATTAATGTCCATGTCACACCTATGCCGGTAGTTGTTGGGAGCACTAAGCTCGAAGTTGTTGACGAGTATAAGTCCAACTTCGACCAAGATCGACCAAGAGGTCAATCGATGGATTCAACTCGGTTGGGCAGCGTTCGGGAAATTACGGCACATCTTCTCGTCAGGTATACCTCAAAACTTGAAAACGAAACTACAACCAGTGCGTGTTGCCAGTGATGACATACGGAACTGAGACGTGGTCCTTCACTGCTGGCAGGATGAGGAAGCTCAAGGTCGCTCAGCGGGCTATGGAGAGGACTATGCTCGGAGTTTCTCTGTGTGATAAACTCAGAAATGAGGATATCTGCAGTAGAACCAGAGTGACCGACATAGCCCAACGGATTAGTAAGCTGAAGTGGCAATGGGCCGGCCATATAGCTCGAAGAACCGACAACCGATGGGGAAGAAAGGTTCTCGAGTGGCAGCCTCGTGCCGGCAGGCGAAGTGTCGGACGTCCCCCCACTAGATGGAGTGACGACCTGGTAAGATATGCAGGAAGTCGATGGATGCAGGTGGCTCAGGACCGTGCTTTGTGGCAATCCTTGGGAGAGGCCTATGTTCAGCAGTGGACTTGTGAAAGGCTGTAATGATAATGATGATGATGATGATGATGATGATGATGATGATATGTAGATGTTTATGGGTCACAGCAACCACTTACAATCAGGTGGACTGTGTGCTCGTTTGTCACCCTTATTCTGTAAAAAAAAGTCCAGCAGTGGACTCTTATAGGATGAAAGTCTGCCAACAAAAACTGGCGGGGAACTAATTCGTACATAACTCTCCTAGGAAATAAGATAGAGCAGTAACTGTATTGATATATATTGAGGTTTACTCACCAAGTGACTCCTCTTAGGAGTAACAAACTCCAAGAAGTCTTCGGCAGCGGCATTCGTATCTCCGTGCTCGAAGTACTCCAGTATCACAGGTTCCGACTTTCTCTGTGGACAAACATAACGACAAATGTATTTGATGTGTGTATTCCTTCACTAAGCGCTCGCCGTAGATATTAATACGATTTTTTTTTTTGAAATAAAGGTGACAAGCTAGTACTAGATGTGGTAGAGCACCGCTGCAACGATATCATGCTTGAATTACGAATAGGTTGGCTCGACCGGGGTAGGACCACGCTCTTACAGAATGCCAATGTAAAATAGCGGCTTAATTCTGCTGTGCTTCTGCTGGTTATGGTGATTATAGAGAACCGGAGATCCTTTTTACTGGAAACGAGGCATTCCATCTCAGCCTTCAGGGGTCACAACGCTTCTGCATTTGAATTCATAATTGAGGATAAATGTAGATATCTGTGGGCCACAGCATTGACTTACCATTAGGTGGAATGTGTGCTCGTTAGTCTCCATTTTACTATTAAAAAAAAACACAGTTCATCTAACGGTAAGTAGATGCTGTGGCCTATAGACATCTATACATAATTCTCGATACATAATCTAAATGCAGACGCGTTGTCACCCTTGACGACTAAGGTAAAATGCTTAGTTCTTAGAAAAATGGGTTTCCTGTTCTCTACACTTATCATGCGAAACACAACAGCATTACCTTGTTGTTTCACGCTGATATTCTGTGAGAGCGTGGTACTTCCCATGTCGAGGAGACCCATTCGTCCTGCAGCTATGTATAGCTAGCATAGTTGCAGCTCTACCACGTAAACAGGATTGGTGTAAGCCGTGTAACGGGGATGTAAGAATGTCCACTACCGAATATCGTCCCGTGGTTGTCGTGAGAGGCGACGGGAAGCAAACCGAGAATGGGCACCAACATCTTCCTAATAACACTTACACGTGGCAGAGCCACGCTGCAGCTATATTAGTTATAGCACGAACGGGTCGACTCGACCAGGTAAGAACCATGTATTCACAGAATACCAGCTATAATGGCAGCTTAGTGCTGCTGTATTTCGTATGGTGAGTGTAGAGACCTTTTTTACTGGGAACGAGGCATTCCATCATAGTCTTCACATTGGTGATCACGCATCTGTATTTTGATTCTTAATCGAGGATAAATCTAGATGTCTATGGGACACAACGTCCACTTCAGGTGGACTGTGTGGTCATTTGTCACCCTTAATCAATAAAAAAGAAAAACAACTTAAAAATAAAAACTGTAGTAGCCAACCCTCCTGTAAAGTATGATAACTTGGCAAAAATCAAATACCACATATCGTGCAGTGTTTGGGGCTATACAATATACATGTTCCCAAAATATTGTTTATCAAACTTTTCACGTCCACAATTGTGTTTGTGCATTAATCTCCGCTTTGTATGGATGTGATTAGCATTCTATAAAGTGTTGGACGCACGCGACCTCCGTAATATAAGCTCAAGGATAGTCGTTGACCTGTGTTGACCCGCCTTGTTTGGATGCATCGGACACTCTATACTTGAATAAATCTCTACAAAGGTTCTATCACATTGGCGCGAAACTAACTTACGTAATGTATTGTAAATAAAAATGAATGAATCTATCGGATACTGGTACTATGTAAACGTGTCCTTTGCCCCGATCACCGTATGACCTAGTGGAAAGATGAGGCTACTATACCGTGACTCGGGTTGTAACTATCTCTCACTGGCATGTGCATCTTCCTCATCCTTTATTGCAACTATGATAAATAGTAAAGAAAGACTGATGATACAAGAAAGTTGAATAAAGAATACTATAAATAAATTATTTACTCAAAAAGGACAATGTTGTAAGAATGATACAGATGTGTTAACATATGACAAACAAATTTTAATATAATGTTGTTGAAGTCAATAAAATTACATAAAATATATTACAAAAGAGTTATACGTGTAAGTTAGAAGGTAGTTAGTCTATTTTTATTTATTTATCCTTTATTTGTCATTCATATCACTACATTGCAATCTTCTAATAACAAGCTCGTGGAAACTGTACATGCGGTCGGAGCTAAGTTTTGCAAGATCCACCGGAGAAGAACACAAAAACTCTCCGATCACACTCTTAATCGCATGGTTGTTAGACGGGATATGAAGCTGCAGTCTTCAGTAGATTTGACAGCATACAGGCAACTGAACAGACAGATTTCCAAATGTATGCGGCGAGACTTACGCAACTTTATTACTGCTCGTATTGAAGAAGCGATCGAGCGGAACCAGGGCTCCAAAGTCTTTGCTAGAGATCTGTCTGCCAGAAAGAGCAAACTGTCGAAGCTGAAGACCGAGTGTGGCAGCGTCGTTTCGGGACACCTGAGATTTTGAGTGAGATTGAGAGGTTCTATGGGCAGCTGAACACATCATCGTTGGAGCCACACGTAAGTGTGAGTAACGATCCAAGAGCGAGTCTTAACCGACACTATTCCGATGATATTCTGGACATCAGTCTGAGCCACATTAGAATGGCTCTCCAGTACCTTAAAAACGGCAAGGCCCCAGGCGAGGATGGAATTATAGCGGAGCTTTTAAAAGAAGGTGGAAAACCGGTACTTGAAGTCCTTCAGAAGCCCTTTAATTCCGACCTCCATGGTGGCATTACACCGGAGGCGTGGAGCAGAAGTGCGGTGGTCTTGTTCTTCAAGAAAGGTGACAACGCTCTCTTGAAGAACTACAGACCGATTTCCCTTCTTAGCCGCGTCTACGTGCTGTTTTCGAGAGTCATTACGAATCGTCTCGCGCGCAGACTTGATGACATCCAGCCTCCCGAACAAGCCGGTTTCCGAAAAGGCTTTAGCACCATAAACCGCATACATACCCTTCGGCAAATTGTACAGAAGTCCGAGGAGTACAATTGGCCACTATGTCTGGCGTATGTGGACTATGAGAAAGCCTTTGATTCCTTCGAAATTTCACTTCAGTACTTCGATGTTGAAGTGCTTGTACAGTAGGGCTACGATGGCTATCCGGGTACAGGACCAGAATACGAAACCTATCCAATTTCAGAGAGGTGTAAGACGGGGTGACGTTATATCCCCGATACTCTTCACCGCTGCAGACAGAGTGATAGACGTTTTGAAACTTCTGGATTGGAAAGGATACGGTATTAACATCAATAGCGAGTACATCACTCACCTTCGGTTTGCCGACGATATAGTCATTATGGCAGAATCGCTGGAGGACCTAAGCGCTATGCTCAATGACCTCAATAGTGTTTCCCAACGGATAGGTCTTAAGATGAACATGGACAAAACAAAGATCATGTTTAATGTCCATGTCACACCTATGCCGGTAGTTGTTGGGAGCACTAAGATCGAAGTTGTTGACGAGTATGTTTACCTGGGACAAATAGTCCGACTAGGTAAGTCCAACTTCGACCGAGAGGTCAATCGACGGATTCAACTCGGTTGGGCAGCGTTCGGTAAGTTACGGCACATCTTCTCATCAGGTATACCTCAAAACTTGAAAACGAGACTGTACAACCAGTGCGTGTTGCCACTGATTGCCTATGGAACTGAGACGTGATCCTTCACTGCTGGCCGGATGAGGAAGCTCAAGGTCGCTCAGCGAGCTATGGAGAGGGCTATGCTCGGAGTTTCTCTGCGTAATAAACTTAGAAATGAGGATATACGTATATGAACTTAGAAATGAGGATATATGATAGTAAGCTGAAGTGGCAATGGGCCGGCCATATAGCTCGAAGAACCGACAACCGATGGGGAAGAAAGGTTCTCGAGTGGCGGCCTCATACCGGCGAACGAAGTGTAGGGCGTCACCCCACTAGATGAAGTGACGACCTGGTAAGACATGCAGGAAGTCGATGGATGCAGGTGGCTCAGGACCGTGTTTTGTGACATTCCTTGGAGGAGACCTATGTTCAGCAGTGGACGTGTGAAGGGATGTAATAATGATGACGATGATGATTAACGTGTGATTTGCTTTGCTTAGAACGTAGAACTGCTGGGCCAGTGTGATAACAGCTTAATATTAAACTTATATGGGTGGCCTAATAAATGTATGGCATGTATTTCAAATATCACAAAGAATGTCGGTTTTCGCTTGAGATAAAGCGAGGAATTTTGCATATTGTTCTTCTAATGCACCGAATATCACCGTTAAATAGCAGCAGAATGCAGAATACATCTTAGGTTTATCTGGAATAGATCGCTACTTAAGAACAAAGAAGACAAGTACTTACATATTTTTTTATAGAATAAGGATGACATCCGAGCACACAGTTCACCTGATGATAGGTGGATGGATACTGTGGCCCATAGACATGTGCATTTATCCTACATTAAAAATCAATTTGTCACCCTTGAGGACGGACATGGAATGCCTCGTTGTCAGTAATAAGGGTCTACGTTTCTCTACACTAACCATACGAAACACAACATTATTGAGCTTGCTATTTTACTGTAGTATTCCGAGAGAGGGTGGTCCTACCCCGGTCGAGCCGACCCATTCGTACTACAACTATACAATGACTTGGGCTCAGGCTTGGGTAAAAAATATAGATACGATATATCTGTATCTATATCTGAAAATATCTATATTTTCTTATAAAAATATTTTTAATCGCGATATATCAGGTGGACTGTGTGCTCGTTTGTCACCCTTATTCTATAAAAAAAAAAAACACGGTTATACCTCCATCCATCTGGACGACTCCCATAAAGACGTCGCCCATAACGGCGCTTGCCAGTACGAAGCTGCCATTAGAGAACCTTCTTTACCAAATGGTTATCACGATCAGTGTTTTTCACGGGGTAGAGCCATGCTGCAGCTATATAAGTAGTATAGTTGTAGCACTAATGGGTCGGCTCGACCGGGGTAGAACCGTGCTCTCACAGAGTACCAGCGTAAAATGGCAGCTTGATACTGCTGTGTTTCGTATAGTGAGTGAGAGAACCGGTGATCCATTTTACTGGAAAAGAGGCATTCCATCTTAGTCCTCACGGGTGACAACGCATCTGCATTTTGATTCTTTATTGAGGATAGATGTGGATGTCTATGGGTCACAGCAACCA